GATTGCTAAAAGTGAAGAGGATTTAAAATACTTACTGATGAAGGTCAAAAACCACAGCCTTCCGGTATGGGTTGCATCCCAAAGTAAAGGAAACAAAAGTCCTCACCACTGTACCAGAAAACAGCAGAAAAGATTGAAGTTGTCAAAGACTTTATTTTGCTTGGATCAGCCATCAACATTCATGGAAGCAGCAATCAAGAAATCAAACGATGTATTGCATTAGGCATATCTACTGCACAAGACCTCTTTAAAGTGTTGAAGAGCAAAGATGTCAGTGTGCGTGACCCAGGCCATGGTATTTTCAGTAGACTCATACAGACATGAGAGTTGGTCAGTGAATAAGGAAGACCATAAAGGAATTGATGCATTTGAGTTATGGGGTTGGAGGAGAATATTAAAAGTATCATGGACTGCCAAAAGGACAAACAGATCTGTGTTGGAAGAAGTACAGCCATAGTGCTTCTTGGAAGTCTGGATGACCAAATATCATCTCTCATACTTAGCATATATTGTCAGGAGCGACCAGTCCCTGGAGACGTATATCATGTTTGATAAGGGGCTCTGGTAGCATAGTGGTTACGAGTCGGGCTGCTAGCCTCAAGGCCAGCAGTACGAAACTACCAGTGGTTCTGTGGGAGAAAGATGAGGCTTTTTGCTCCCATAAAGATTTACAGCCTCAGAAATCCTATATAGGGTCGCTATGAGTCAGAACCAACTCCACGGTATACCACCACCACCAAAGTTGAGAGTTGGAGAAAATGAGGAAGACCCCCCCCCAATGAGACTGATTGGCACAGTGCAGCAATGATTGTGAGGACCTGGCAGTGTTTTGTTCTGTTATGTATAGGGTTACTATGAGTTGGTAACTACTCAGTGGCACCTAGCAACAACATTCTTGAAAAAGGGATTAAAATAATGCATTAAATGTCTCCTGTCTACTTCTAGTAAATATTATCATTCTATTGGATAATCTGTTACACATGGACCTCGCCAGATGGAACACATAGAAATCAAGTAGACTACATCTGTGGAAAGAGAAGATGGAAAAGCTCCATATCATCAGTGAAGACAAG